GTGGTCTGGGCAGAGGGGGGTGGTCTGGGCAGAGGGGGGTGGTCTGGGCAGAGGGGGGTGGTCTGGGTAGAGGGGGTGTTCTGGGCAGAGGGGGGTGGTCTGGGCAGAGGGGGGATGGTCTGAGCAGAGGGGGGGGTGGTCTGGGCAGAGGGTGAGCCCTCTGTGGTTCTGTGCTTTCGTGGTTTCCCACAGGTTATTTTTAGAGCAATAGTACTGCACTTAAATAGCTGACAGCATTAAAAAAATTGACATCAATAGTTATTACTCATAGATACCGGTACCTAATAAATAAGGCCATATAAATAGCACAAATTTTTCTACACATAAATAATAAAACTGCTAAAAATTTTTCTTTTTTTTACAGGACTAAATTTTTTAAAAATTCAAAAGCAATGAATTCAGGAACTACTTGAAAGAATCAACATATAATTGACTATTATGTGCTTATTGTGTATGTTCGTGTATAGTTCACACTTTTTTTAAACCAAAAATTTCTATAAAAATCAGGGGTGGGACTTATCACTTGATATCAATTTTTCAAAATTCATCATGCAATAGTCATTTATGTGAAAATTCGGAGAATCTTTTTTTCCCTTGGTCTCGCTTTAGCTTGAGCAGAGGGCAATCCATTTTTAAAAATAATGTTTCTTTTAAATATCAAGGTAGTTTCTGAAAATGGCTTGTCAGTTTTCAAGTTGTTATGGAAACTATCTGGTCAAATCTGTTTCTCAAATATTTGATTATATTTATGTTAAAAAAGGGCCACGTAACTTACCAAACTAATGGTGTGACATATCTGTGAGTCAACAGTAAATACCCACTTTGAGAACCCCGAATAATGGTGCAACCTATCTGAAAGTCAACAGCAAATACCTACTTTGAGAATCTCAACTGAGGGTGCGACATATCCACGAGCGTATACAGTACAGTACTTAAAAGTTTGTTATCACATTATAATATTGTTCAAAATTATGGACATGTATGGTATATTTTAAAAAAAGGTACATCTCTGAACACATCACGTGGTAGTATCATTCATTGGTCCCTTACATTTAAATGTATCAAATAAATTCAACATGATTAATAGGATCCATGAGTCCAAAAGTAGCTTACACATTAGATGGTCATTATTGAAACATTAATTTTAAAACTTACAATTACAATAAAGTACTCTCTTAATTTGCTCTCGATCAGTGATTGCCAAACATTTCTTTTAACATAGAATGCATATGTATACTGTTGTTGCACCTTCTCATAATAAAATAGTCCACATAAAGAAGACCCTACAATGTTTTAGTTTTAGTTACATCAGAAAATCACATTGTAAAATTTTTAAAATGATATAACATAACGCTCTAATCAATGGACCATAAACTTTCATTATTTTTAAAAACTATATTTACATTTAAAGTTGCTGAAATTCTTTTTGAGATCTCATTGCAAAATATATAATTGTATGATTTTTTATTACAATCATGGTTTTCTATTGTCTGAAATCTAACTTTGGTTAACATAATGCAAATTCTAGTCAACTACTCAGATCACAAAGTTTAGTCTATTATTCACAAAGTTTAATCTGACTGATTTATTTATGGTGTATATGCATGGGTTTCAAATGATTCCTTTAGTAATTTTTTAATGATTCCTAAAATAACTATTTAATGATTCCTGCAGTAACCATTGATTGATTACTACAGTAACTATTAAATGATTCCTACAGTAATTATTGAATGATTCCTACAGTAACTATTCAATGATTCCTAAAATAACTATTAAATGATTCCTAAAATAACTATTGAATGATTCCTAACATAACTAATGAATGATTCCTTAAATAACTATTAAATGATTCCTAAAATAACTATTGAATGATTCCTAAAATAACTATTAAATGATTCCTACAGTAACTATCGAATGATTCCTAAAATAACTACCGGTGTTGAATGATTACTAAAATAACTATCGAATGATTCCTAAAATAACTATTGAATGATTCCAACAAACACAGTTAAGACACTACACCTCATTTTCTATATCTTAGAAAAACTTGAAGATGGGGATCTCTCATTCTCATCATGAGCAAGTAGCTACTAAATTAATTATAATAATACCACTAATAGTACCAATACTGTTTTTATTACATTATGCTGGCAACGATATGACTAAGTCATTGACTTTAAATGCAGTCAAAGAAATGAAAACTTTACAATTAAAATATAATTTGACTTTCTAATAAGATAAAGTATAGAAGTGGCACAAATAATAGTAGTGGAAAATTACTACAGTTCATAGACATAAAAGATCCATACATTTTTCATGCTTAACACAATCAAAAATTTCTGACTTATGTTATCTGCTACTACTGACTTTTCTAGCTGGGCTTTCCAATATTCTCTTTGCATACTCTATAACAAAGTCACAAAAATCTATCTTCTAGAAAATTTAAATAATTTTTTAAAAGTATATATTGAAAATTTTTTTTAAAAATCCAGCAAAATATATTTTGTTGTTTTGCTACATGGCATGCAGTATTTGAACATGAGGCACTGAGCTTTTGATTATTTATTATGCAAAACATTTAACAACTTTTTATTTAGTGAACCTGACGTGAAAAAGATTACATTTTATAAAACAGTTTTCACCTACCAATATCATTATGTTTTCAAATTAGCGAGTCCAATCTGTGATTAATTTGTTTCAGAATAAAAATGTATTTTAAAATGATACTTTTTAAATTCATTCCCTTGTGCTTGTTAAGAGAGCAGAATTAAATATTAAGAACAACAAGTGATAGATTGAATAATAAGATTGTCTTGTGTTGTTAGCCAAACTAACACTTATCTTTTTTGAACAACATAAGCAGTACCTTGAATCTTGTGTTTTAGCCAAGCTATAACAAAACCTTGTTTGAACAACATAAGTAGTACCTTGAATCTTGTGTTTTTAGCCAAGCTATAACAAAACCTTGTTTGAACAACATAATGTGTAGCTTGAATCTTGTGTTGTTACCCAAACTATATCACTTATCTTTTTCTTAATATTTCATTCCCGTGGCTTGAAAGCAGACACTTCTATATTAATCTTTTAACAAAGCAGCAATGACTGACAGCTTTTATACGTCCTTTGGTTAAATGATAACATTGTCTTCAGGGGAAAGCTACAAATTGTCTGGCAGCCTGGCTAGAGAGAAATCATTACACAGTATGTGGCACTGGTACATCTTCTCTGCGTACTGAAAAATTTGGCATGCTCATGGCTCGTGACTTGCGTTCTTGAATTTCATTATGCTGCATTTCTATATCCTCTGCCTCACAAGAAGGCATGACTTTACTTGACGACTTCAACTTCAACATAGAAAAATTAGCAATGCTTTGTGTTCGCCTGCTAACCCACTCTGTTAAACTCTCTTGCAGAGGCCTTTCATCCAGGACTTTCCTCACACAAGATCTCATGATGTAAGGCAAGTCCTCCACTCGTGCATTCTGGGATACAGCATCTCGAAAGTGAGAAATGATCTGGGAGCACTCTGATCCACTGACTTTGTAGCAAAGTTCCTCCAGCTCCAGTCTCTCCATCGGGGGAATCTCATAGGTCTTAGGATGAGATTCAATGAGCCAGCTGTAGTCTACACCTGCGGTCAAACAGAGGCAATTCTTACAGTAGATTATATTATCTCTTTATACTATACTGCTCACTGAAGAGTTAGGATAATTTTAAATATATATATATTCTTGACTGGGCACAGAAAAGTTAATAATTTAACAGTGGTAAAGTTGACATAGTTAACATAGTTAATAACAAACTGAGATAAATTAATTTCTATTGAAGCCTGTGCAAAATAGTCACTTGTTTGACATTTTACTTTTCATAAATAAGAAAAAATTCACTCATACAAGTATCTGTAATCTGAAATCAAACCATCAATTTCTTGTGTGCTTAATACTGAAAAATAAGGTGGCTACATTGCCCAGGGGTGGTGAGATTTCCAACTCCTTTAAAATGCACGTTTGGCTGGTCTAATTTAAGAAAAAATTTGGATGTAGCTCTGTGTTTCATTAACTTAATGATTCGGATTTTAAAGATTAAACTTGAACATTCCACAATTATAAGAAAAATTAAAATCTCAGTAATTAACTCTCACTCATAAAATTGCATATGAAAGATCCACTGCTCAGCGTATTAACACCAATATTTAAAATTGTATTTAATTGAAGAATAATTTTGTTTGAGAACAGACCTGTCTTGAGCCTACGCTCTTCTTGTTGTTGCTCTAGTCGAAAGTTATCCAGCTCTCGAATGTGAAAATCTAGTTCAGACATTAATGTATCACATGCTACCATGTGTTCATCTTTTTCTGGTGGTTTGTACACTTCCCCAGACCCCATACTTCGACGCCATAAGTTCCTCAGTGTCATCATCTTCAAGTCATTCTGATGAACTCTATAACAAACAAAAAACAAAATATCTTTATAAATCAATTAAATAAATCAGTTTTTCAAAAACATCAGGAACCAGTTTATTAAATGACAATACCCATAAAACAATTAAAGAATCAGTTCTTCTTGTATTATTACTTACAAGAAATATTGTCATGTAGTGGTACCAATTTTAAGGAACAGCAGAATATATCTTTAAGATTTTAAAACTAATGGCCTAGAAAAAACGAATGCTTGAATAAAATATGCATTAAAAGGTGTCAAGACATTCACGTCTTGTAGGAAAATTTGCACTAACCTTAAATGATCGAATTCCAAACAGTATTTTAACAAATTATGAATTTTGATATAAATTTAAAAAATAGATTTAATTATATTTACACAAAATGTATTTTAACAACACTTAATGACAGCACCACGATTTTGTAAAGAAATTCTTTACCCACAACGAATGTTAGATGCTGAAAACTGCTGCTGACCTCTTCCAACTAACTAGTGTTTCCATCATTTGATTAAACAGCCAGCAACAATAACAAGTTACACATTGCCATGGTGATCAATAAATGTGGGGAAATTCATCAGACAGAAGAAAAAATTATTGATTTTCTTCATCACCTAGACCAGGGGCTGGCACACTTTTTTTGAGTGAAGAGCCGGTTTATAAATTATATCTGCTATGAAAATACTTAGGGAGCTGCAGGCAGGGGTGGATAGTTTAAATATATTTATAGAACAGTGAAAAATTAATGGTTTGCTAATAAAAAATCACACCATTTATTAATTTAATGAGCTGCATCTAGCTCAAAGCGCCAGATTGTGGACAGCTGTCCGAGACAGAGCATGAAAGGATTTGGTTTATTCATGATTATGGTTGATGCATGATAAGAATTTTATAACCAATCTTAATATAAATTTAGAAAAGAGAAAATATAATATATTATTTGTCCCAGCCACAGTCAGGGTTATGGCGACCGAATGAATCTCTTGAAGAATATATATTTAGAATGAACAGCTAAATTTTTAAAACCCAAAATTTTTTCATCAAATGACCTATTGGAGATCTTTGTATTAATTAACCCTTTCAGAACTTTCATTATGGAAGCTATAATTTAAGATAATTTTTTTTCTTTTAAAGAATTTAATGATAAAATTAAAATTGAGCACTGATTAATTTTTTTAAAGTATGCTAATAAAGTTAAAACATATTCAATATTGACAAATTTTGCTCTTTAGTGTCATAAATTAATAATAGCATTAACAGGATCATATCCTAGGCTTTAGCCCATTATTATTACAGGACAGACGACTCCACACAGAATAATATTTTAAAAAATTTTCATGTGTACTGTTTTTATTCATTGCAGAAATCGTGTTTGCTGTTTCGTCTTCTTTAAAGTTTTCCCCTAGCCCTGTGTTTATAATCAGTTTTCTTATCCATTCTTGTCAAATTCTCAACCCTCCCTATTGCCTTCCCAGTAGAGCTGATGCTAAGTTTGATAGCAGTCTCTTTCGTATTAATATACCTTTCTATACAGCACGTCTCCCTGAATTCTATAAGAGGTCCATAGATGACGGTATAGGGGTCATCACAATGGAGAGGAGTGAACTTGACCTGTTCATTAACTTTGTAGGCTCCTTTCACCCCTCCTTTCTCCTGGCGACACATTTGTTGTTTTGTTGCATTCCTTTTTTCAGGTTTAACCCTACTTTGTTTCACTCATTTCATATTATTCTTATATAGAATATAAAGTGCCATCCATAAATGACCTCATTCATGCATCTCGGCATGGGGACAAAAAGGGGAGGGCGGGGGTCAAAGTATTAAGATGTCTAAATTGTGAAATAAATTTGTGATGATGTGGGGAGGGAGTCAAAGACAAAATCTGCCAAACTCTGCTGAGGATTTATCAATGAAATGAAAACATATAGAAAATCATATTTTGATTTTTAATAAGTATAAGCTTTTAAACACACGTTTATCTTCAGACTTTAATCAAACGAACAAAAGTAATATTTTTATTTAAAATATTAAAATAAGTGGTGTTGTTTTAATCTTTGGTCAAATTTAAATAATGAAATTATAAAAAATGACAAAGTATAATGTTTAGTCACTTAACTTTGACCGCAAATGGTTACAAAAGTAATGTAACTTAAGAGAACACCGGCTCTGACTCCACACTGATCGGAGGAATAGACCTTAGGCTATCATAAGCAATTTCTAGATATTTTCCTTTTGAACCACCATTCTCAAATAAAGCCATTTATATTTTTACCAATGTATCAATGTCTCCAACCGTTGGTCTGGAAGTATTATCCTGAGCCTGAAGTTTCTTTTGTATTTCAATTTCTAATTGTCTCTTAAGCGGCAGTGTATCATCAAATTCATCATGCTCAGATCCAAGATGTTCAATTTCATTGTTCAAATATATTTCCAACTAGGAATCCGCTGTCGGACCAAGCTTTTGAATATCCACGATATGTTTCGCACCTGGTTGCAATCTGGCCTTAGAAATACGTCCAAGTAATGACTGGAATGTGCAGACTATAAATGAGAGTGAAGGCCTGAAGTTGTTCGCACAATGTTTTAAGTATCTTGTTAATTTAATAACTAATACATTTAGCTGAGAGATTGTCGTAGCTTTCAAGAAATAATGCCAAACTGATGTCTTTGTTTCAGATAGTTTCATATGCCTTTCAAATTATAGGTTTATTATTTTCAGGGTCCCCATTTCTTTCTATCAACCTGGGAAAATAAATCATTAACAATAAAGTATTATTTCAATCGAATTGGTTTGACGTGTAAAGCTTTTTTTAATGTTTAAATTGTCGTGTAAATGTTTGACTAAGTACGGTACAGAACAATTGGGACATTCAGTCATGTAAATTTTGGCTAGGTACGGTACAGACAAACTGGGAAATTTAGCATGAGACAAAATAGCTCGAAAATCAATTTTAAGTTGAATGTAAATTATTAATATTGTTATCACAAAATAGAAGTAACATAAATTTTCTGTGTCTTAAACTTAAGGTATTTGATTATCAAAATACGGATTTACTCATATTTTAAATAAGTATTTTTTTTTGGGCACAATTAAAAGAAATCAAATAATCAAACAATTTTTTTATTAAAAGTTACCCTGTGATTTGAGTGCAACGTGTTATTATTTCCATACAAACTCTTAATGGAAGTCAAAATTCAATCTTCATTCGACTATACCAATTACTTATTTGTCAATAATATGAAAAAATTTACTTACCAATCCTGTACTTTTACGTCGTGACTCGTGCCCACTTACAGACTTACACACAACACACGCACAATGAAAAAACAAAACTAATCACAATGTCATGATTTTTTACTAGTAAGAGTACACAGATCTAGCCCGCTGGTCGGCTTTCTTTGAACTTTAGACAAGTGGTGTGATGGATTTGCACATCTAATAAATTATTGATATGTCTTGCTTTAACTATGACAGGGAAACTAAGAAAAACGGTTTTAAAAAAAATTGAGAATGAAATCCCGGGATTATCAAAAATCACGATTTTCATAAATCCAATCCCGGTTTTTTGGAGAATCAATTATGGTCTGGTATTTTCAAATTTCGGGATCCCGGATTGCGACCCCAACAAGCAATCAACATGATCCATCAAAATTAATATGTAAAGTAAAGTAGGGGCTACCCCTCACCACCTTAGGTAATAGAAAAAGCACTAAAATAAGGGATTATCCACCAATTATACTTATACCAGTAATGATGATGATGATTTGACAGTTTTAAAAATAATTTATCTAACAGGTGACTGGTGTCACTGATGACTTTACTTTATAGTGTCATAGTAATACTAATATCGAAGTGATTATTCACAGAGCTGCGCGGATAACGCTCGCCGTTATTCACAGATTTCGGTCTGCCGATAACGCTCAACATTATTCGCAGAATGTGATAAATTAAATTATGAATATAAAATACAAAGTTCGTATGTAAACATCTCATCGGTAGTGTAGTGGTCAGTATCTCCGCCCGTCACCCGGCAGACATAGGTTCGATTCCCCGTCAGGGAAGCCTCATTTTTATAAATAAAATAAAAAAAAAAAAATTTAATGGTTATTTCGTAGTGTTATATTATAATAATATTCTTCATATGGCTTTCTTATTCTGTTCACATAGTTTTATTATTATTTTCATGTAGTTTTGTTACTTATGTTACAAGTTTCAATCTATTTTGTTAGAATGTTCATTCAAGTTTCGTCAAAAAACTGTAAATGGACATGCAGATGAGCCGCATAAACCATGTTTAAGTCAGATACAGCTGTTCTAACTGTACATTGTGATATCTGCCCTAACAGAGCAGATGTAGGCACAATTAATTATCCTATATCCAATATATAGGCTATAGTTAGGCCTATTAAATTTTTTTAAATTTAACTTGTGCATACCGGTAGCTTCGGTTTTGAGATGTGTTTGTGCCATTCTCATTAACAATCGATCTATCCTACACTACTTAAAACTATACCCCTACCCCGGCTTGGAATGTGATCTTAATTATTTCTAGAAATGTGCGTAATTATGGGAACATTTCTGTCTAACAATAACGCTCTGCATTATTCGCAGATTTTGGTCTGCCGATAACGCTCTGCGTTATTCGCAGATCTCGGTCTGCCGATAACGCTCAACGTTATTCACAGAGTCAGAGCTGTGTGACTGTGTGGATAACGCTTCCCTACGTATATAATATTTATAATTATAGAAAATTATACTGAATAATATACTGTATACTATACTTACTATTTTACTATTAATAGATTAAATTGTTATTCACAGTGGGCTGGGAATAACAACGTTATTGATGGCCATAGTAAACTATCATATCAGCTGGGAATAACTGAGGGTTATCGGCATAATGATAATGACATACGGTACATTTTAAATGTACCAACGGGACTAAGAGGCTTACGTTCAGACTACAGAGTGTTAAAACTTCAGTTTTAGTGATCTAGCCTTTTCAATGAGAAAATAATTAATATTGAACTCGGATGTGAAACTCCTTAACCTCATTTTTTTTTTTTTGGTTTGTTTATCTTTTTGTTGAATAATCTACTACATGGCCTTGAACTTCATACTTTCGTCACGTATCTTCTTGCATTAAAACAGAAAGTAGAAATATCGGAGTTTTGTCCCAGAATCAGGGACCCAGATTCATTCAACATTCAAAACTTTACATAGCCTACATCATCAAGAGTTAATATAACTTTTTCAAATTATCAAGACGGTGTAACGGTGTAAAGAATAGCACCATACCACAGATTGTTTGAAGCATGGTGTGATTAATAATAAATGGTTTGTAATGCAAAAAAAAAATAATAATTTTTATTACCACTCGCCACTCGCCCTCTTCTTAACTTTGACTTGACTTAAACCTCTTTCTTTAATCTTTTTTAAATCTTTTACTTTATTTTGTTACTGAACTTACTTTCGACTGTCGTCGTCTTTTACTTTTAGTAAACTTCTTACATATTTAACTTACATCTTAGTCTTAGTCTTAGTACTAAGACTAAGGTACACTATTTGGTAGTTCTATCAGATCACTCAATCAATGATAGTGATAGTATTATTAATATAATTAGTATATTAATAGCATTATTATTAGTTAGTATTCCTAAGGTTACTGTTATATGTGGGCTTACCAATATGTGTTAACTAGAACTAGAACTAACTATTTTTATTTGATACTTTTTTTTATAAAAGAACTTACTTTAATTATTAGAGTTAAGATTAAGAATTAAGAGTTTATTAATTGGACTCCATCTAAATCTAATCTTAAGTCATGAGCTAGGGTAACATAATGCTTAAATTAAAGGAGAGTTTGGATTCCTAAAAACAATCATAGTTATTTTCTATTATTTTACGGAAATCGAATAAATTTAAATGCGCAAAAATATTTTAAATCCGCTTTTATTTTAGTAAATGTTTAAAATTTAAGTATTATTATTATAAATTACAAATAAATTTAAAGTATCAACTAATGAACTATTTTAAGCATTTTATATGTGTTTAAAAGTTATGGAAAAAAATAATAATAAAAAATCATGATCAAAGAATTACACCGTAATCACATTTATCAGGAAAACCAAAGCATTAGTAGTTTTTAGTGCGTCTTTTAGTGATTAGTGCATTGTTAATATTGCGAAATGCTTGTAATTAGTTTTTGTAGTGTTGCGTTTGTTTTAAATGTGGTAAATTATAGATTTTTTACTCTTGTACCGCGCTTCGAGCCTTTGGGGATGAAGCGTGTTTTTGAAATACACTTTATTATTATTTTATTAAATAATCACGCTAATGACTCATATCGCGAATACCCTATTTCTCCAAAACTCTTAGGTTTCTTTAAATTTAATAACCATGCGTGACAAAACTGATAATGTATTTTCCCTTCTTAAAAGTAAAATTAATAAATACAGTTGATTGCTTTTTAAATTGTTAATAAAACACACACACATTTCAGCTGTGTATATTTTAACATTTAAAAAGTTTGTCTTTTTTATTCCAAAAATATACCTTTATTAAAATTATAACCTAATAAAAACTAACCTTTAAGTATAATTCTAATAAGAAAATGTGGTTTAAGTCAAACAGTGCAGCTCAACTCCATAGCCAAATAGCATTCACTAATCCACCTATAACTTTAAAACAAAAAAGAACGAACCATATGTAGTGCAAATTATTTTAGTTTGGGTATGGAAGGGACTACAATCCGCTGGAAGATTCTTCTAAATTTATTTAAATCTGGGTGGGGGAGGGGTTGGTTACTTTGCCCCAGGCAGCACAAGATACGTCTCAAAATAAAGGAATGAATTTGATAAATAATTAACATTCTTGGGTACATACATTTCAGAGGTAGGAAATAGAATGTGTACATTTTCCAGTGGATGACAATATATTTAAATCCTATGGTATTACATTTGACAATTTGAGAAAAAAGAGATGTTACATTCTCTTTTTACAAATATGGGTATGTTCATTTTCCCAGAGGCAGCACAAGATATGTCTCAAAATAAAGGAATGATTTAGATAAATAATTAATTTTCTTTGGTAAATACATGTCGGAGGTAGGAAATAAGATGTGTACATTTTTACGTGAATGACAACATAGTTTACTATGGTATTACATATGTCAAAAAGAGATGTTACATTCTCTTTTTACAAATATACATATGTTTACTATGGTATTACATATGTCAAAAAGAGATGTTACATTCTCTTTTTAAAAATATACATATGTTTACCAATTAAGAAGATCAATGGCGTTATCAAATCTTAGGGACATTTATATAAGTATACCCATGAATATCAAAACCCAATCATTTTACACACTTGAAAAGAGTAATTTTGAAAAATAGAAATGGGTTAATATTTACTTTCAAAAAATTAAAATATATTTTTGTTTTTACTTTGCTAAAATTAAAGAGATCTGTATTTTATGAGATTAACCTTTTAAATTTAAAAAAAAACAAAAAAAAAACAATCAAATCTTTATAGACGTGAAAAACAGTTGGGCGATTCTTCTTTAGATAAAATAATTTTTTGTTTCACGATTTTCTGATAATATATAATTTTTTTTTTTAAAGGCAAATATGTTTTTAAATATTTTTGCTGAAGATATCAATATATATAGGCCTATAATATATAGCAGATAAATACTTCTCAAAACTTAATGATTTTAGAAACGTAAATATCATTACATTTTTAAAGTTATGAATTGTGATGAGTTTTTGCAATATCATTTAGAAATTATCGCAAAGGATCTACCATTATTATCCCGATAACATCAGGTCATTTATTCTAGTATGTAATAATTGTAACGTAATAAAAGTGACAGCACACTCACTTCCTAATCTCACCAAAATTGAACTACTAGTCCCAGTCACTAATTCACTACTACTTGTCTACTACGTCTACTCACTTTGAAACTTCTTGTCCACGGTGTTTCTTTCAGGCAATTCCCTTCTGAGAAGGGGGGGGGGGGGGGGGGGGGGGGGGGAGTGTTTGAATTTCAGATTTTCAGGCGGGCAGTACTAGTGATCAGAGGCGAAGCTAAGGTGTGGAAAAGAGGGGACAAATGTCACTGTGTGCAAGACTAGCATGGGCTTTAATGGTATTTAATGNGGGGTGCCATTAAAATGAATCTTGTTACCCTGTGCCAAACACTCTAGCTATGGCCCAACCAACTGTCACTTTTTCTTTATATGGGGGGGTGGCATTTTTGGACAACTGCATAGTTTTTGTCGTGAAAGCAAGGGCTCCAAAAATTTTGCCCCCCCCCCCACCCACGCCAGCAATAATACAAGCTATGCCACTAGGCAGTGTAATAATACTAGCTACACCACTAGGCAATGACAGTATCCTAATACTAGCTACACCACTAGGCAGTGTACTAATGCTAGCTAAGCCACTATGCAGTCTATCTATCGGCACTAAAATTGGCAATCCCCATTATCGGTAAGTGGGCCAGAAATTGAAGGCAATGATTGATCTTGGATGGAAGGGAATTTTTTTAATTATTTGAAAATCAAGTGTTGCATTTTAGATTTAGAGAATAGCAAAATTCAGTGTTTCTTTAGACTTTTTGATCGGGGAAGGAATTTTATAAGCAACGAGGGATGTCCAGTGCCATACATTAACTGAATTCACTCCAGTTGTCTTGTACCCCAGGGTAATCAGGGTGCAGAAATTGAGGATGCCCAAGACTGTCTGGCAAATTAAAAATGTGAGGATGCATTTTGGCACATACTTGAGTTAGGTATATCTTTCAGACAAATATGAGGGGCATTTCAGACCTTAAGGTAGAAAGTGCCAAAATTAGCCATAAAAAAGAATGATCAAGGATATCTCTAACTCCGCCCTAGCCAAGGATGAACAAAATTTATTTGTATTGCCCTTCCCCCCTTGTCAACAACCGTCAAACTTTCAATGACCCCCCTATTTAATTATGTACCCCCCCCCCCCCAACCCAAAAAAAAAGGAATTATATTATAAATAAATTTATAAATGCATTTTAATTTGTACTGATCTATTTTAATGGCACAAAATTGTAGGAAAAACATTTCATTACATCTTTAGCTTGTTAATCAACATTTTAAAAAGTTTTTACACTTAAATTGTACAATGCTAAATCAATTGAAAGGTTCTTAAAGTCAAAATATCATTGTTTGTGGTATAAATATGATTATTGTCAGTAAAGCTGACAATTATAGTATAGTTTCTAGCAGCTATCATCTTCCCAAGAAGTAGCCAGGTGTTCCTCTATCATAACAATGGGCATCAGGGACATCATTTGGGTAGTACAGGAGGGCATTTGCCCCCACCCCCTAATTTGCAGGTTTTATTTAAATTGCTGTCTACTGTGGTGCCTTCAGTAACCAAGTTTTGGGTTTGCCCCCTCTCTCTTCCCCCCCTCTGAAAAAAAAGCATGAAATGACGCCCCTGATGGACATAGTCTATAGTAGCTGATTTATCATTTTCATCTTGCGGCACTGATATACCAGACAAGTCAACATCATCCTCATCTGACCATTCAGCACTTAAAATAGAAGCATTGTCTGTGTGAGCAATAATTCCCATTAGCTCTCTCTATGTCCTTGCAGCTACTCCCATTGGTCGAATCCTTTTTTGTTGAAGAGCAGGTGCTAATTTCTTATGCTCAAAATTGCATTGTCGGTGCTGTTGACACTGTTGAACATGCTTGTTATGCAAAATAGATGTTACAGGTTTTGCAAATCCATTCAAGCAGTGATGTTTTTATTGTTACTCACTTACATTCACCTAATTCTCAAAATATAGTGTTCCTATT